AAGTAAAACAATGGTTCTGTATGAGGTTCAATTTCCCTAAGGTCTATGCATGTCAAAGGTTCAATTTACCTGTATTGATACATGTAACTTCAAGCCAAGGGCTTAATGTGTAAACGAGTTAGAACTCTTTGTTGTAACCAAGTGTTAACTTGGAAAGCTGTAAGCCTGTAGGGCATTTTGTTATGCTGTTAACATGTAACACCCTATACAACCAATGCAAGAAAGTAAAACAACATTAATAAAGTAAAACAATGGTTCCGTATGAGGTTCAATTTCCCTAAAGTCTACGCATGTCAAAGGTTCAATTTACTTGTATTGAATGATTACCAATGGCCGAAGGATGTTGAGATTGAACTTGGGGAGTATAAACAATAACACCCTATACAATCCATGATTTCATATTATAAGAAAAATCTAAAAATTACTTCCAAATTACACAATTCTCATAATAAAAAATATGTGATAAGCAACTAACTCAAAGTATGGGAAGCACAAAAATGTTTACCTGTATTGAATGATTACCAATGGTCAAAAAAGGTTGAGATTGACCTTGAGAAGCACAAAAAGAACCATCCTACATGCATAAAAAAATACCAAAATAATCAATATCACCCTACTAGATTACAAGAATAACCAAACCAACAAGATTAATACAAGGTTACACGCAAAGTAAATATTACCTGAATACAATTATAACCCATGGTGGTACGAGGCTCAAATTGATTTTCGGGAGTACAAAAAGCATCACCCTACAAATGACCAATTTCTTTAATTCATTAGTTTTCCAACACACATATGCAAAATATCATTTAATCATATGCAATAATTTTGTGTAATTACCTGATTAGATTGCATTCTTTTTTTCTTTGCAATAGATTTTTCCATCCCGCCCTTGATCCTCCTTCTTCCCTTACTAGTTGCTTGTCTGTTCTTCAGTCCCTTGGCTTAGATTGGACAATCTACTTCTTCACTCTGTGGGCATGTGTTAGCTGAGGAATTTCTCAATTCGGTGATCTCCACTTGACCACAAATGTGCACACTTAATTTGTCTTCAACCATGACACTCAGTTCTTCACCTTTTGCAAGTGACAAACGATAAGTTTCTTCACTTTCGGCGGCTCTACTTGCTATTGCTCTAAACATATTCATCAATGACCTATATCGGTTGCTTTGATGTAGTTTCACATCAGCTTTGACGTCATACCCACGCCTATCTTTCACACTTTCAGCCCTTGCTTTTTTAGTCCATCGTTTTAGTATGTATTGTGCAGGAAGGTCCTTTGCATTGATTATCTCTCTAAGCACCTTTAAACAATGTTGACACACTATGCCCTTCACTTCAAACTTCTTGCAACTATAACTCAAAAAACCATCTCTATCCATTGTCACATTCTTATCTTTTTTTCCATCTACGTCCGTTTGAATTGTGAATATAGTACTCTCACCATCATGAATAGTGCCTACAATGGACGCTTCAATGGACTGCACGTACTCATTTTGGAATTCCTCAAAAAAAAAATTGGTGTAAATATCTGCCATTTGCTTTAACATCACAGTTGGAATGAAAATCCTTGGCAATTTTTGAGACAAATTATACTCGGCTTCCAATTTTTTATACCTCTTCTCATATAGCTTCCTAAAACTAAAGCCCACCTTTCCGCCATAGGTATTGTAAAAATCATATGCAGCTTGTTCAGAGTCAAATGACATGCCTAATTTCAGCTTCCAACCACAATTAGCCAACTCATCAACAACATTATTTTCTTCGATTACCTGCAATTCGATTTATAGGTTCAATGAATCAATTTATATTACTTGGATCTATGACTTGGATTTTTTTGGACAGGTATGATGATGTTTAATTTTGTACCTCTGTATTTCTAATTTAATAAAGTACCTCTCTGTTTTTAGTTTAGTTACATCAGTAATCCATCAACATTTACCAACTTTCTAGTGCAAAAATAAAAAATAAACAATCTGAACTATACATTTTCATATAAAAGTGATGGTAATATCATTTTTTCCATCCATATAATTAATAAATTATTAAGGAAGCTAAGTGTTATATCAATTTAAATTTTATAAAAATTCAATGTAATTATGTTAAAATTATAAGATTTATTAATTTTTTTTTAAATCTCAAGAGAGTGAATGTAATTTATCCAAAACAAAATTTGGCCAAGCATGCAAATTGCTAATTTTTGTTCCATTTCATCTGTGTTCCATTTCATCTGTGTGTCATTTAATCTATGTTTCATTTTGACATTATTTTATACATATATACATCATTTTTTCCATCCATAAAATTGGCCAAGCATGCAAATTGCTAATTTTTGTGCACCCACTTAGTTTCCTAGGAAACCTTAACGGTCTCTGTTTTATTTGACAACAGAGGTCCATAACCATCATACCATTCATCAACAACAGCCCCCCTCTAAGGAAAAATTATAGGAACAACAGCCCCTCCAAGGAAAAATCAGTTCCATATTATTCAAAGAAAAATTATATATAAATTATATATACGTATATAGCGGACCATCAAGGAAAAATTATAGGAACAATAGTCCCCCCCAAGGAAAAATTATAGGAACAACAACCCCCTCCAAGGAAAAATTAGTTCCATACCATTCAAGGAAAAATTATATATAAATTATATATACGTATATAGCGGCCCATAAATGAAACAGAGATGAAATGGACCTCGTCATGGCTACAATGTCGACTTGACGTCGTCACGTCACCGCCGGACTCGCGTCCCTCCGCCATCCTCTATCCATCACCGTCGCCTCCCTCCACTATCTCTCACATTTCGTTTCTTCGCAGATCCCGCAGATCGTGTCTCTGGTCTCCAATCGTCTTGCGGTCTTCGTCGATCATCTCTCTCTCTCTACGCCTCTCTTCTCTCTCTTTGTCCAGCTGTGTATGTCGCAATGGTTAGGGCTAAACACAGAGACGAAGATGAAGATGAAATAAACATGCGGGAAATTCAAATTTTTGGGAAAAAAAAAAAAAACTAAACAAAACAACGTCGTTTTGGAGAAGGCGGCAGGGAGGGCCGCAGGAATGTACGGCCGTGGATCCTTACTTCATTACTTGTTCGTCCTGTCTCTGACATTTCTCTATTTGTTATAGATTATATTATTATTATTTATGAAAACTGCCTTTATGCTGAAAAATTAGGTCCTGGGCACTAAAATCTCTTCACGAGAAAGATGAAAAAAAATTTAGGCCGTGGTTGGAACGGTTTTCAAATTATAATTTTACTTTTTTATTTGTGTTTGACATTTGTTTACGATTTTTAAAAGTTAATTTCATATTTAATTTTGAAAATTCTGTCTAAGGCGAAAACATTTGAGCTAACTGGTCGTCCGGCCGGTTAACCGGAACAGTACATTTTTCTTTTTTTTTTCTTTTTTTACAATTGACACATGTTAATTTTTATATATTCAATAAAAAATATTTTTCGAATTTTTTAAAATTTTTATGAGCTTTAAATAGAATTTGAGTTGTGTGTTTGGTTATGAGTTGTAAGTTTTTGTATCAAATATTATATGTCACATCAAAAATTCGCCACTCAATTCAAAATCCATTCACCAAACAAATTTTTCATATTCAAATCATAATTCCAAAACTCACAAACTCAAAATACAACTCCTATTCTCAAATTATATTTAGAAAATTCTACCAAACACCACCTTAATTTATTAACTTATTTAAATTACATTATTTATTACGTTTTACATATATTTTTTTTTATAATAAGTCAAAATAAAAAAACAAAAAAGACTTCTCAAACCAAAAATGTTAAAAATTTTATTAAAAATTTTATCAAATATCTTATATGTGTGAGATCTACATGAAACTCATATTATATAAATCTTATACATATATAAAATATTTAGGGATTGTTTGGGGTATTCTAAATAAGTGCACTAAAAAATTAAGAAAAAAATGGTTGTTTGGGATAATTTTTTATCTTTTTACGAAAAAATGTATATTAAAATATTATATAAAATAATAAAATTACAAAATTACCCCTATGTCTTAGACTAGTGTAACTGCGCTGACTTTCTCTCTCCTTTCGTTTTTTGTTTTTTTTTTTTTAAATGTAAGTGTGGCTTACATAATTTGTGCCACGTTTTCACACTTTTATGAGAAATTGTGGCTGATGCGGCAGTGGCTGCACAGCCTGACCTGTGTTGGATTATTTATTTTATTTTATTTATTTATTTTTGGACAGTTTTCCTACCAAAAAATAGGTGAATAGTATGAATTTTTTTTATTTTTTTAATAACTTTTTAACTTTTTTACAATATGCCAAAACGGCCCTTAATAAAAATTATAATAAAATTTTAAAATCTTTTACATTACTTTTCAAACACGAGCATATCCTAAGCCAATCATACTTTCCAATTACCCGACACACAACCCGAATTACGATCCTCTCCTTAAGTTATCTCCTTAATTCCCTACTTGTTCGGTCATTGAGCCCATTTTTAGGCCTAATGTTAATGATTCGAATCGTTCACATTTTAATATTTGTTAAGTATATCATACTTGTAAAAAATCACGTTAATTAGATATCAGAAAGTATGTGTTCGGAAAATTATTCATTAAATTTTTTTAAAAAATAATTTTTAATTTGATGATCCAAATATATAATTTTTGATATTCAATCAACTTGATTTTTTTATAAATATAACGTATTTAATAAATCTTAAAATGTCAACCGTTAAAATCATAAAATTGAACCCAAAATCAAGTCCAATAATCTAATAAGTAGGGGGTTGAAGGAGAGACCTTGATTCCACAGAAACCACAGCCCCCCCCCACCCCCCCCCAAAACGACGTCGTTTTGGGGGGCTGCTAGGACGGCCGCTGAGAATCCGGACTCCCCAAAATCCATCTCTGCTTTATTCATTCATACCTCTATCTCTCTGCAACGAGCCCCATGGCCGAAACCACCTCCCTCTCTCTCTCTCTCCCTCTCCCTCTCTCTCCCTCCCTCTCCTATTTGTTCTTCTATGTGTTGAGATTTGAAAAACGAAAAAAATATATATATAAAATATGAATGAAATATAACCTAACTTTTCTCTTCCACCTTGCAAATCTCTACCCAAATCATGAACCAAACACAACACATGTGTCTTCCTCTTCTCAGCCGGAGGCGTCAATCCGGACGGCGGAATTTGAGGATGTATGGGCGGAATCTGCAGTCCGTTCCAACTGTCCGATCTGAGTTTCAACACTGTGCCCCGGCCGCCGAGTGCTCGCTGTGCTCAGGCTAATCGTCGGTGGCCATGTCTTCAGAAGCTCCGGGTACAGCTAGATCTGTAATAGATGCACACACCTACCTATATAGAGAGCCCATCTATATATATGTTTTTGTGAATAATAAGAATTATTCAAAGTTGTTGGCATGGTTGATCACAGGGTACCCTAATCCGGGGAGCTGAAACATGTAAAAGCAAATTTAGGGAAGGCTTCAATATGGAATCACTGGAAGAAGTGCTGATATCACTTGGTATTGGAGGCATGACATCCCAATTTGCTCAAATACTGCAGTCTGCGTTCGGCTCGCGGATGGTTCCTCCTTATGTAGTAAAGAGGTATTCATAATTATTGTAAGATTGCTTATTCTGCTGAATTATTGAGATAGATAATTCCTTCTTATTCACGTTTATTTTGCAATATATATTTGTTTTGCATTATTAGTTGTAGGATTAATCGGTCAATTTTTTTGGATAAAGTGTTCATCGTCCAGATAACAAAAATTGCAACCAAACAATGCAACGTGAGTCCCATGGATTAATAATCTTAATCCTATGTTATAATCTGCCCATTCAAACCGGCTCTTATAGTATAGTTGCTTCCTTTGGTAATTTAGCTATTCATTCAAATTACTTCATATTTCAATAAGGAAAATGCTAACGCCTTTTGAGCTGTCAATAATCTCGGTATATGTATAGGAGTATAGAGGTGTGTGAAAATGTTTTTAAATTTAATATATATATATATATATTTGTAAAAATGCTTTGAAAATAGTTTTGTATGCTAACAAGCGAAAGAAAAAGAGTAGTTTCAATATACCCATTGGAACTTATTGTGAAACCTTTGCTAGTTTTTTGTATGAAAAGGAATTTTTTAGCTCCAAGCCATAAACCCCAGGTCTATCCCTTACTTTGATAGGATTTTGATATTAAAAAAATAATAATTCTTATGAATCCTAACTAGTAACATAATTATTTTAATATTTCTAAATTTATTATAGCAAGTTTATTATCGAAAAGTACAACAAAGTGAAGTAAAATAGGTTGAAGTTGTTGGGTATGAAAGATAGAGGTGAAGGATTTGATAATAGCTGCAGTGAAGTGTTAGGATGCAAAGGCGATATTCCCACAAATGAATGAAAAGAACGAGGTCACCTCTTTTTTTTTGTTTTTTGGATAAATAACGTGGTCACCTCTTAATCAATAGAAAAGAACACTAGAACAAAATGTTGTGAATTCCCCCTAGAATCCAAGAATAGATAACAGTAAGTGATGATGGGGCAACTTTTTTGTGGTAGTAATTGCGAACTCATTCCATCATTAGAGGGTAATTTTAGTATAAATTTTATTTAAATATAAACTAATAGGTTGAATGGGCTGAACAATCGGGTTAGGATTTATGTAATTTGAACTCTCTAGCTTATTCCTCAAACACTACTTGTATTACATGCCTTCCAAATATGCCACCTACTGCTGCCTACTATACTAGCAGATTCCAAAGAGCATCCTTAGGCCATTTAGATATTTCCCATATTTGGGTAGCTGCGAGACAGACAGTAGTCCCTAAAAAAATGAAAGAACTAAAGGGCATACAGGCCACACTCTTTGTACATGGACAAAGAGCAAAATGAAGTGGTCCACTGTTTCCACCTCTTTGCCACAAGGGGCAAGAATCCATAGAAAGGTATCTCTTTTACCTTTAGATTGTTACACACTGGAAATATACCCAAGACTCATTTTCATGGGGACATCTCAAGCTTGTAGGGTCCTTTCATGACCAAATCTGCTTCCATATGCTTGCGGGAATTTGAACTAGTCTTGGTGGGCTTCCCGTTTTTTGATGGCCAGCCTATTTAACATATGATACATGGCCCCCCTCCCCAAATCTAGTTACTATAAGTTATTAACTATTGACTTTCTTGTGCTAGGTTGAATTTGAAGCATGTAAGGGCAATGCTTCTATATGGGCCACAAGGTTCTGGAAAAACCTTGATAGCACAAAGCATTTGCAAATTTCTAAATGCAAAAGAGCCCCTGGTCTCTCTCTCTCTGTCTCTCTCTCTCCACTTTTTTTAATCTTATTTTGACACTTCTTTTTCTCCTCCCATTCATGCAGATTATAAATGGATCGGATGTGTTAGATGCATTCCAAGGTGTATCAGAGAGGAAAATAAGGTCACTCTTTAAAGCAGCCGTTGAGAATGAAAAAAAATTTGGTAAAGATGCGTACGTATGTTCATTCTAAATTCACTTCATTGTGCTTTTATAGTGAGATCATTTAATCTTTTCTTTTAGGAGCTAAAAGTGACCTACACATCATCATATTTGATGAAATTGATTCCATTGCTAAGGTGAGCATAGATGCAACATTTGCTCCTTCTAAATGCTGTTAGTTGTGCTACCTACAATTCGTGTTATATATATGTGTGTGTGTTAATTTCACGATATCAGACTAAAGGTTTTTGACATAATTCAAATATTTTTTTCCCTATTTGGGTTTGACATCATTTTGGTGTTTTCGTATTCCCATGGATTATATGTTCTGGCAAAGTTAATAGGACACAATAGGTATACAGTTTAAGGTTGTTAGGATCAAGAAATGATAAAGGTAGATTTCCTGCTAAAATATAGGAAACATGTTTTAATTGAAATCACATTTTCTATTACAAAATTTCTATGATATGTACTGTATGTCATTCGGCTATAAAAATAAATTTTTATGAGTATTACCTGCTTGGTTCAAGGCTAGATTCCTGAACTCTAGACTTGATTTCTTCTATAGCATGGAGGAAATGGTTCATTGTTACTTTGATATCCTTCTCAACATGCTTCCCTAGTCCCCTATCCCCTGCCTGGACCACAGCATATGAATGTGCACGAGTGACTAAAGATGCAAGGGCAGAGCCACTACAGTCGCCATCTATCCCGCAAGCTGTGCAAACAATCACATGCACAATCTCATCACATAAATGATGCATTGATGTTTCCACTTACACAACAATATTGCCCAAACAACTTGACCAATTTCTTGAAGATTCACATCTTCATCAAGTGCAAAAGCTTGTCTCATGTTCCTTGTGTTGATGTTCAAAATTTGCAGGCGCCCTTGCTCATCTGGGTACTCTACATTGACATGTAGTTCAATTCTACCTTCCCTACAAAACAAATACAATATAAACTATATTTCTTTTCTTTTCTTTTTTAATTGAGTTGGGAAAATGAAAATAAAATAAATAGCTATATACATTTGTTTGGTTACCCATAAAAGAAAACTATGTATAAATAATTTCATTTTTCTTATCTTGATAAATTCAAATTTTGAACATACCTTCTGGAGTTCAAAAGATGTGGGATATTGTTGAAAATAAGAAAGAAATCAACAAAGAACAACACGAGGAAGAGAATGTTACCTCAGTAGTGCTTCATCGATGAGCTCCTTTCGATTTGTAGTAGCAATAATAAAAATGTTGTTCAATACTTTCATGCCATCAACCTGGAAGGCATGCAAATTTTCAAGTATTTCCTAGACAAGGAGAAACAATAAAACGAAAAAATTGAAAAAAGAAATATGAGAGATATTGACCATCGTAAGTAGTTGGTTTACAAGCCTATCATCCATATGGTTTTGTCCCATACCTACCCCTCTTTTCTACACAAAATCAAAAATGCATTTAAGACATGATTTGGAACATACATATGGAACCAAAAAAGACCACTCTCACCCAAGCTTGGTTCATATAGTCTAGAAGGCCATTTCACCTACTGCCAATTGATTTTGGGTTAGATGTCTTCAACGTTATAACAGCCCACAACACAAATAAGCTTAATAAAGAATCTTTGGGATTGCACAAAACTCTTTTATTCTTTTTGGTCTAACATTGCTTCATGCTTTATTTTGTTAAGGATTTTTCTTAGCTCCTTGTATTAGGAAAAAAATTGAAGTTCTATATGTGCTTGTGTGTGTGATTTGAGGCGACATGAGCTAGTAAGGGAGCTATCTAGGAACTATGACAGATGCTGAGATGACACTACATCATCAGATACTAGCTAGGCCAAAGCAAAGATGGCTTTGGGAAAAGAAAGAGTGAGGAGTTGTTTTAGAGGTCTAGAAGTGAATAACCAAAAAGCAAGAGATGGAGATGGTTAGATCTTCTTTATGCATGAAGATGGAGGCTATATTTATAAGGATTGGGTTACATAGGCCACCTCACCTAGTGGTCTCAATAGCTGGAATGGTGGTCAAGTGTACTCAGATATGAACAAGTCACTTGTCTTTGTCACACTCTAGAGTTCTCTTCCTGTCGAGATCTCTCCAAGGTCGGTCTAGTGCAGATCCCCCTAACGAGTCTAGTACGAGGCATCTCAACAAATCTTCATTTCCAATATACCAAGTCCAAAATTCCTATGATCTCATGTAGAGTCATGAGGTCTCTTGGGTGCCCCATAACCGTGGCACCAAACCCAAAGGTGTCCCGAGGCTCTTCTATCTGACGTAGAATGGCATGAGTGTATTACGGTGACTGGAAAACAAGTGTAGAATCATATAAGAGATGGAAACCAAGTGTGATGGCTCAAGTGGATAGAAGCGCACCCAGGTGTACAGTCCCCTTATTCTTGGAAGGAAGGCCAAGTGCACCTGCAAGGCTCCCCGGAGATAGACTCCTTCAATTTTAATATGAGAGATGCTACATGTCTGGTGGCTAGAGGTTTTGGGATAAAGGGATCCCATGCTCAATACAACTGTCATGGAGAAGCTATGAAGTACATGCAGATGTGATTATTACCTAAGGTTAGTCAAGTGCTTTCTGTATTTATGCACAAAACAATTGAGTGTTTATTGTTTAGGAACCACTTTCTAGAAAAATGGTTTCTTGCCTAGGTGACCATTACCTTTGGAGTCTTCGGATAAGATACACTGCCTTTCAGAATTCAAAACTTTAAGCCATGAGCAACCCTTTTCATATAGAATAGCATTTCTATGTTGATTGTTCACACTGATTAAAAGCGTAGGTTGTTTAAATTAATAAAAACATTTAAAAGTGGATGACAAGTTGAAATCACAAATCATAGGGCATAGAAATAACTTGAAAGCAATGCTAATTAATCTGGACTACACACTCAATAGTGAGTGCTTGTCTTACAAAAGCATATTGATATAGAAGCATGAAACTCAAGCCTTGTATCTTATTGTCAATGTTTCAAAAGATGAGTTACAATTACTAATCTGGAGTACATATCACTACTACCAATAAGGAATAAAGAGACATCACACAAGGTGAGTTGGCCTATGTAATAAAGAGACATCACTAAAAGCATGGAATAAAGAGACATCACTACTACCAATCTGGAGTGCTATTGACTTTCATAGCTGAGTACACTTGACCACCATTCCAACTACTGAGGCCACTAGGTGAGTTGGCCTATGTAACCCAATCCTTATAAATATAGCCTCCGTCTTCATGCATAAAGAAGATCTAACCATCTCCATCTCTTGCTTTTTGGTTATTCACTTCTAGACCTCTAAAACAACTCCTCACTCTTTCTTTTCCCAAAGCCATCTTTGCTTTGGCCTGGCTAGTATCTGATGATGTAGTGTCATCTCAGCCTCCGCCATAGTTCCTAGATAGCTCCCTTACTAGCTCATGTTGCCTGAAATCACACACACACAAGCACATATAGAACTTCGATTTTTTTCCTAATACAAGGAGCTAAGAAAGATCCTTAACAAAATAAAGCATGAAGCAATGTTAGACCAAAAAGGATTAAAGAGTTTTGTGCAATCCCAAAGATTCTTTATTAAGGTTATTTGTGTTGTGGGTTCTTATAATATAGAAGACATCTAACCCAAAATCAATTGGCAATAGGTGAAATGGCCTTCTAGACTATATGAACCAAGCTTGGGTGAGAGTGGTCTTTTTTGGTTCCATATGTATGTTCCAAATCATGTCTTAAATGCATTTTTGATTTTGTGTAGAATAGAGGGGTAGGTATGGGACAAAACCATATGGATGATAGGCTTGTAAACCAACTACTTACGATGGTCAATATCTCTCATATTTCTTTTTTCAATTTTTTCGTTTTATTGTTTCTCCTTGTCTAGGAAATACTTGAAAATTTGCATGCCTTTCAGGTTGATGGCATGAAAGTATTGAACAACATTTTTATTATTGCTACTACAAATCGAAAGGAGCTCATCGATGAAGTACTGCTGAGGTAACATTCTCTCCCTCGTGTTGTTCTTTGTTGATTTCTTTTTTATTTTCAACGATATCTCACATTTTTTGAACTCCAGAAGGTATGTTCAAAATTTGAATTTATCTAAGTTGAGAAAAATGAAATTATTTATACATAGTTTTCTTTTATGGGTAACCAAACAAATGTATATAGCTATTTATTTTATTCTCATTTTCCCAACTCAATTAAAAAAAAAAAAAAAAAAAAAGTACGTTATTTATTGTATTTGTTTGTAGGGAAGGTAGAATCGAACTACATGTCAAAGTAGAGTACCCAGATGAGCAAGGGCTCCTGCAAATTTTGGGAAAAGTTGAGAAAAATGAAATTATTTATACATAGTTTTCTTTTATGGGTAACCAAACAAATGTATATAGCTATTTATTTTATTCTCATTTTCCCAACTCAATTAAAAAAAAAAAAAAAAGAAATCTAGTTTATATTGTATTTGTTTTGTAGGGAAGGTAGAATTGAACTACATGTCAAAGTAGAGTACCCAGATAAGCAAGGGCGCTTGGAAATTTTGGACATCAACACAAGGAACATGAGACAAGCTTTTGTACTTGACGAAGATGTGAATCTTCAAGAAATTGGTAAAGTTGTTTGAACAATATTGTTGTGTAAGTGGAAACATCAATGCATCATTTATGTGATGAGATTATGCATGTGATTGTTTGCACAGCTTGCGGGACAGATGGCGACTGTAGTGGCTCTGCCCTTGCATCTTTAGTCACTCGTGCACATTCATATGCTGTGGTCCAAGCAGGAGATAGGGGATTAGGGAAGCATGTCGAGAAGGATATCAAAGTAACAATGAACCATTTCCTCCATGCTATAGAAGAAGTCAAGTCTAGACTTCAGGAATCTAGCCTTGAACCAAGCAAGTAATACTCATAAAAATTTATTTTTATAGCTGAATGACATACAGTACATATCATAGAAATTTTGTAATAGAAAATGTGATTTCGATTAAAACATGTATTCTATATTTTAGCAGGAAATCTACCTTTATCGTTTCTTGATCCTGACAACCTTAAACTGTATACCTAGTGTCCTACTAACTTTGCCAAAATTTACTCAACAATAAAAACAAAATCCACTTCCAACCACGTGCTTGGAGTGGTGTAGAGATTATATTAGATTTGTTTTCTGCTTAAAGGGTAAGACCAGTGCATTTACACGGATTAAAGTACTATAGGGTCAAAGTTTCGTCCATGCTTTTAAATTTTTTCAACTCAAACATTATTGTAAAATTTTACTCTAATTATGAAGTGCTTAAAAATAAAAACATTCTGTAACAAAATACATATGCTAATTATTAGATTCATTTCAATAATGGTACCTCCAAAATTGAGAATCTTCATAGAGTTGCAAGCTTTTTTTATAGAAGCATTATTGCAATGTATTCCCTTGTCCAGGACTCAACCTTTATTATAACTCCTAGATCTCTAGATTAGAAAGGTAAAGCTCAACTTATAACAGATTCTTTTGTGGCCATTGGCTTGCCAAGACACAAAAGGGTTTGGAGCATTACGAGGGGCAAGGTGGCGAGAGTGTTTGCCTTTTCGAAAGAACCCTTGTTAAGGCTGTTTTCATTTCATACTAATGGAGACATAATTGGAAGGTATGGACAAAATAATCCCCCCCCCCAAAAAAAAAAAATAAAAATAAAAATAAAAATAAAGAAGAAATATACTAAATGCTTGCTTTAATTATTCCTCCAGTTCATGGATTTGATGTTATGATAAGTTCTCAGTGCAAAACTTTGGGATGAACACAAATTGTCAGCTTAGTTCTTAATCTGATGCGACTATCTTTATTTAACAGTATTTACAAATTTAGATGATCCAAAGAATAAGTATGTGTAAGTTAAAACCTAGTTAATTGGTTTTTGTTTCCTAGCTTCACACATTTGTGAAATAAATAAGACTTCACAAATGCTTGCTATAATTACAAGTAATCATTCATTCCTTGAGAGATATTTTGTAGCTTTTAAATTGTTTTCTGATTAACTGTCTTGTTTTCTTCTGATATTTTCAGGATGGGAATGGAGGAAATGGTAAGAATCTTGTTTTGGTTATTTAATTAGTAAAATATCTGAGTTTTTAGAATATTAATTGTAATGAGTAAAGGGCCATGCCATACCTTCCTGAACATTACTCTTGAAACGCTATCTCTATCACCAGCTCTATAATCCTCATTTTATATTTGGTTTTACAGTTTCTGCGGCAGTTGAGCTCCACTAATTCGACTGAAGTTTTACACATGCAACAAGAAATTGCAAGGCTCAAGGAAGACACTTCACATTTCCAAGCTACACTTGCTTCTTACGAAGAGGATAAGGCCAAACTTGAGAAGAAATTCGTAAGTCCTCCGTAAATTATATTGGTTCACATTCTTTTTTCTTCTTTTTTTTTTGCCCCATCAAAGCATTTAACATTTTAGGCGTGCTATGGCAGGAGACAATTCGCTGTTCAGTTTGCCGTATGGGCCTGGAGTGAGTTTGAAGTGGCGGTCCAAGCCGTGTAAGTTTCTACTTCATATTTGGTTCTATCAGAACATGTAGCATTTTTCGAGCTGTGTTTGCTTGGTGTTTTAGAAACTATGTTTGAATTCTATATTCTGTTTGATTTGTATGAGTCTGTTATGTACTCTGTTTAATGTTGTTGCCCACATATGTATGTTTTTGAGTTGAAAAATGCTAGAGGTCTCAAATGTTTTACCAATGTATCACATGGATGTGGTGTGGGTCCCACATCCATGTGAGACATTTAGGAAAACATTTGGTAAAACATTTGAAATCTCTAGCATTACTCTTTTGAATTTTGTAAAATGATGGGGACATATACTGTACTTTTGATTGGTCAAATATGTAAATTTACAGGTCTGTTTGTTGTTTCATTTTGATTTTCTTTCTTTATTTGTTTTTTTAATTTAGTTTCATTCAAAAATTAAAAAAATAAAGTGTGTTTGGTTTGAGTTTTTTGGATTAAATTTTTTGAAAATTGAGTGTTTTGTTTTTCGTGTTTTTTATTTATTTTTTTGTTTTTAGTGAATATTTTTTAAATTTTAAGTTTTTTTTTTTTTTAAAACTTTTTTAGATGCATCTTACTTAGACCATCTCCAACGGTGAACCAAATTCAATATCAAATTTGAATTTGATGAAAAAAGTCACTTTTTTTGTTCTAATGGTTTCACCAAACCGATATCAAACTGAGAACGGAACAAATTTTTCATCAAATTGAGAATTTGCGTGAGCTTTCACCAATTCACTGTGCTGTAACGTTGCAAGTGGGGCCACGGTCAACTTGCTGGACATCCGGCCGGTCGACCAATCGGTTAATCGGTAAAAAGTTCAAACAGTTCAAATATTCAAGTTCAAACAAGTAACAATAAATAAATAAATAAATATTTGCCTTATAGGTCGACCGGCCGGTCAGCCCTTGCCTTTGATGAAAACCATTGGAGCAGCCTATATCAGATTGAGAAAATGATTTTTTTTTTTACTCAGATTTGATGAAAGAAAAGGTTAACCATTGGAGATGCTCTTAGATGTATCTAAAAAGTAAAAAAAAATTGTGAAAAAATATTTTAAAAAATTAGTAAATACATAAAAATATGAAAAATATATTGAATTCTAATTTTTTTTTTTGTATTTTTGGTATTTAGTGAATTTTTAAAAGATTTTTTCACAAAAATTATATTTTTTATGTATTAGGTGTGTTTAAAAATTAAAAAAATTGCTTAAAATATTTTAAAAATTCAGTAAAAATAAAAAAAAAATGCGAAAAATAAAAAAAAATAGAATTTTTTGAAATGTATTTTTGGAAAACCAAAAACAAGGAAATTTTAAAGTGAAATTCATGAAATGTTTTTTTTTTTTTTTTTTTTTTTTTTTTTTTTTGAGAACGATGAAATCACCATAGATTAATAAGCAAGATAACAACATTACAAGTTATAGTAAACATGAGTACAAATAAAAGTAGAATAAACAAGCACCACCAAAAGAGTCCCTAGTCTGGTCCAAAAGCTCGACGCCGAGGTGGCCTGAAAAGACTGGGATGAGAGTAGGAATCTTCAATTCGTGAGGAATTTATTTTTATGATAAAAAAATAAAAAAACAAAAAAAAAAAAACTCTATTATATATAATGTTAAAATAGAGGGAATTGGAAGTGGTAGTTTAGTCCCTAGAAAGACATTTATAGTCTTTCATCTTTTCTATAGTAGTGGAGGTGATTTAAGAAGATAATGCATTCTTATCAAGTGTCTAAAACCCAATAAAGAGTTACACAATACATTAGGTGAGTTATCTTTTAAAAAAATTATCCGTTGCCCTTATAGCACCACGTGGTTATGTCACCCCACAAATCACCAAAAAGTATGGCCGCCATTGTTTTCCATGCCCAAAACACAAATTCGTGAACCCCTTCCTTCCGCCAATCACAACGCCCAAGGACTCACCCGACTGTGTCCGATGGACAATGACTAAGTTCCCCATATCCTCAGCAACATAATAGAAATGAGTTAGTATTAAGGCCTCGTTTGGGAATAGGTTAATTTAGTAATTTTTTTATTTATTTGGCTAAAATATGAGCTAAAAAAAACTAGTATTTTTGGGATGATTTTTTAGTTTTTTACGAAAAGATGTGTAAAAAGTAGAGAGAAAAGAGAATCTTTGACTTTTTGGTATGAGTTGTTGGTTTTTTGACTAATTAATAACTTTTTGACTAAAAAGGAAGGTTCCCAAACGAGACCTAAGAAACACTGCAAAATTTTAGTTAGATCATTAAATAATTTTTCTACAGACACAGTTAATCAGTTTTTGGTCTCTTTGGTTGGCAAGAAAGACCGCAAAATTTTAGTTAGACCATTAAATAATTATTCCACAGACAGAGTTGATCAGCTTTTGTTCTGTTTGGTTGGCAAGAAAGACAAAGGAAAAGCAAAAGCTAAAATCTACGGCTATGGAGCTGGAATGTTTAGTGGTAAGATGGTCAGTAAAAACTGAAAAGGAAAATCCAAAGCATGATTTGCTTCAAAGTTCAAAGCTAATAAAGTGGCTTTGATTCAAGAGAGCAAAGATGCTTCTTGTCGCCAAATCATGTTTCTGCTTAAGAAAGTTGATGGCCAAAGTAAGGACATTGAATGGTTTCCAACTTTCCATTCCCCTAGTTTCAATTGCTTATTAGTTAACATTGCAACAAAAATGGAAAAAAAACAAGTTACAGAAAGAGCTCAACATTTCACCTGTAATGCAAGCAGTTTGGTTTGAAGTATTAAAAAATTGGGTAATTAAACTAATATGTATTAAAGTTTGAAGAAAATACATTAAGCCCACAAGTTTGGCATAACGATAAGATTTTAATTCACACAATATTTAGTTTCTTTGCTATTCGTATGAATGAAAAAAATGATATTGTCATTTTTTTTTTTTAAAATTAAAAAATGTATATTATGATGCAAATGGGGGTTTCAAGTGAAATGCTAAACAACCTCAAGTTGGCTCTCAGTTGATAAATCGAAAAAGACAGCCTACTTTTCTGGGTTTCAGCTGTTGTTGAACTAGAAATCTGGTTTCCTCAGTCTTTGCTAATTCATTGTTCTGAACTTGAAACTACTCTCATTGTTCTGATGAACTTGAAAAAACTCATGATTCTTGAAATGATTATTAAAAGTTTGCTGATGAAGACATTAACAGATTGAGGGTGTTGCCCTGTCATCGTTTGCTATATCTGCATTATTTTTCATTTTGCTGATACAACAGTAACAATAATTACTCTATCGATACATAATCAACCATAAAACTAATCACACAAAATACACATACGGTTATAAATCTCACTGCCAAGAGGATTTTGTGATTAATGTTATTGTGTCTGTAGAATTATTGTAATGGTTTATTTGACTCGAGCTTCATGAATTCATAATGCAAAAAAAATCTCTTTAAACTCTAATAGCGGCTTCACACCTTTTCTTTTCAAGCAAATAAATGAATTAAATGATATAAATAGTAACGTTTATACAAACAAAAAAATGTATAAAATAATATAAATTAATTATAAACCTATCACCTCTAAACAAAAAAACTATCAAGATAATCGTTAATTAAAAAAATACCCCTCACATCATACGACTCATAAATTCGATATAAATTTTTTGTAAAATCTTTTTTCATTGTACAAATATAGGTAATGAGATGATGAATGCTTCCCATTCCCCAAGCTTGACCCAGGTTCGATTCCTTGGAGGGGGAGCGGGGAGGGGGCAACAAAGGTTGCTTTGCAACTGGTTCTCGACAGAGACCTCGTCTTGTATTCCGATCGAAATCTGGGTTTGTTTGTGGTATGTAGGTTGCGCTCCATTGGTGCCTCGGTGGTGGGTCCTTTCCTATGAGTTGGGTTAAATTAAGCTGGCAACCAATTATTCCGGGGCCTAGGCCTACGGATGCCGTGATAACACCTCAGAGTATCTTTTTTTTTGTTCAAAAAAGTTTTTCACAACAAACTCACAAATAATATTTTGAAAATTGGATCAAGCAAAGAAAAAGAAATTGAGTGAACGAGTTATTCAGTGTGTTTGGTTTGAGTTTTCTGAATTAAATTTTTTGAAAATTGAATTTTTTTATTTTTCATGTTTTTTTATTTTTAGTGAATATTTTTAAAATTTTAAACATTTTTTTATATTTTTTTAGATATACTTTACTTAGATGTATCTAAAAAGTAAAAAATTTGTAAAAAAATATTTTAAAAAATTATTAAATACATAAAAATACAAAAAATATACTAAATTCTCGTATTTTTTTTATATTTTTGGTATTTAGTGAATTTTTAAAAGGTTTTTTCCACAAATTTTTTTACTTTTTAGGTATATTTATGTTAAGTATATCTAAAAATTAAAAAAATTACTTAAACTATTAAAAGAATTCATTAAAAATAAAAAATACAAAAAATAAAAAAGCAAATTTTTTTTAAAAACTATCTTTAAAAAAATAAAACCAAACAAACTGATTGAGTTTTGCATGTTGTGGATAAGACTTCAAGCAAGTGCACTACACTAATGGCAGACAAAGCCAAAATGGCCTTTAGTCTTGCTGACCCCATGAACAATATTTAGTTAGGTAAAAGTGTACTAAAAAGTGGAGAATATTTTTACTTGCATTGAAATTGTGATGTGCACCATTAAAAATAGCAACTTCGTCTGATTTTAGTCCCCAAAAAAACAAAAGCATTTAAAAAAAGAAAAAGAAAAAAAGTAGACATGCAAAATTGATTCTTACCACAAATGGAACACAATAAAGAAGGCCCTAATTAAAAATAAAGTAGAGAGTTGCTTGTCTGTTTCGCATGACTGGACCAGCACTAGAGTATTCATATTTTATTCGATTTTATGACTTTCTTAATTTTTCAAACGAAACCTTAGCTTTATCATAATTGGTTGGTTAAAAAAGGCATCACATTTTTTATTGCTATCATAAACAACTTAGGTATTAGGAGGTGAAGGAAGAAGATATAAATGAACTTTATGTTAGGAAAAATCGATGTGATTCCCCACAAGTAAATTAATTAATGGGAATAAAAATTAATGTGGAAAAATTAAATCAAAAGTAACACAAGAATTTTACGTGGTTCTCTCAATGTGAGGTACGTCCACGGGATCGAAATCCGATTCCACTATCAACCAAATAATTCCAAACGATTACAAACAAGACACTAATGGTCTCACAAAACACCCTTAGGTGAATTCCAAATAATCACAAATAAAATCATCACATAATTTCACTCATTCACTTGAATAAATCGTTTGAATGGGATTTTTAAAAATTAATTTTACCATATTTTAAAATATATTTTTGTTTTATGTTTGGCCAAACTCTTTCTAAAACAAACTTTCAAGCTAAAGTTCTCAATTTTTTCGTACAATTTTTTGAATTTTTAAGTCTATTCAATTGTCCTCTGGTTGAATGTTACAGTGATTTTTATTTTTTGTTTGTGTGCGTGGGGCAATTCCCAACGGAAAGCAAAGAAGAGAAGTTGGTGGTTGAACATCTACCCATATATAGAGTGAATTTGTAAGTTATAAAATTAATTATGAAAGATAGTGAAGTTATTGGTGACGGATATAAAAGTTGATGGTTGAACGGATGATATAAATAACGAAGTAAAATTAATAAAAATTAATAAATAAAAATAATTTGAATAAAATTAAATTGTATGTAATAAATTGCGTAAATGTTAACAAAAAGATATCTTAATTTTTTTTAACTCCTCCATAGATAATATCTGATAATTTTTTTAGTTATTTATTTGAAAATAACAATACAATAAATAATAAATAATTTGCCACAGTAAAAATATAAAATTATTTTAACTGAAAAGTATTAAAAAAATTCAAACTAAATATACAATCAAAATTATTTTAAATCAATAACTGAATGTTTATTTGAAAAGAAAAATTATTTCCTTTATAATATTTTTAATTAAAAAAATTGATTAATATCATTTTCTGTTCATAATTAATTTTTTTAATTGAATTTTAAAAAAAAATTTGTTTATAAGTTTTAATCAAAATTTTCAATAGAATTTTAAATAATGTGTTCAGTTATGAGTTATAATAATTTAAACATTCTTTTCAAAATTCATAATTAAATAAATTTTCTTATTTCACATATCACATCAAACATTAAAAATTCAGTTCAACACTCAACTTAAAACTCAATTTAAAATTATTTTCAAAACTCATAACTAAATAAATTTTTTACACTTAAATTATACTTCTAAATTTCATAAACTCGAAATATAATTCTATTATTAAATTATATTTAAAAAATTCTACCAAATGATACCTAAAACTTTTCAAAATATTTTTTAAATACATTTAGCTCCGTTAATTTATAATAAAATTACAAAATTACACATTTTATAACAAGATACATAGAGTAAAGGGGAGCAATAGCTGTTAATTTCCAATAATCGTTTTTTTTATGGTAAAAATAATTTCCAATAATCTATCAAGAACATAAGATCATATATATTCACAAAAAATGTTGCCAACCAAATACCATAATCCACACCACATGCACAAAAATCTATGAATAACAAAATTATTTATTGATTTAAAAGAAATGAAAAATATACTAACAAAAATCACACTGGGGGAGTTTGTGAGGCACTGGCAACCACCTTACCACCCTCTGGGTTCCACGCGCCGCCACCACCACCGCCTTGCCTCCCATCAACGGACGGAGCAGCCACCGCACTCACCGCCTGATACGGCTGCACCACCCCTCCCTGCGTGGTATAGTACACCTGCCGCACTCCTCCGTCATAAGTCACCGTCGAATATCCCGGCTCCGCCACCCCAACTCCACCAACCGCCGCCGCAGCCGGTGGTGGCGGCCGTACCATTCCTATGGCTTCGCTGTAACCTCCAACCTTAGGTTGCTGAATCGACGGCGGTGGAACGTTGTACACCGGCTGCTCCCGGTACATCTCCGGTACTGTCCTTTGTATTCCGTAGAATGCTTGGCCGGTCAGCGGTCGCATCACCGGAGTTTGGTAAACCCCAGACGGCGTTTGGATGAGGTAAACCGGTGGTTCCGGTCCTGTTGCAGCGGCGACGGGGTAACCTCCGGTGGTCAAATGCCTTTCCTGCCAGTACGACGCCGGAGCTGTCACTGGTTGCGGCGGAGGAAGTTTCTCCGGGAGTTTCTGTGCGTAATAATCTCCAGCATATGCCCTAGGGTTTGCTTCATCAATTTTTCTCTGGTACATCCCTTGTTCATGTCCACCAATCTGCAGTCTCTGAAATTCCTGAATCTGCCTCTGGTAGTCCGCCGGCGTTACCACCGGTTCTCCAATCACATGCCGATCCTCCTCCAATACGGCATGAGTTTCAGGAACCATCTGCGGCGGCGGCGGCGGCAGATCTTGCACTTTCGCCGCCGTAGGCAGCGGCGCGTGTCCTTTTTCCAAACCAAACAGAAAGTCCGGATTGGCCGCAGAAGGCGGCGAAGAAACATCCAGAGGCTGGATCTGCACCGAATTCAACGCGTCCACGAACCACTGCCGCTCCGACTTCGTCTCACCCGTTCCAAACCCCGTCGCCGGAGGATGATTCAGCGGAAACATAAACAACCTCAACCTCGCCGGCTTGGCCGACGCACGGCACAGCCGATCGTACTCCATCATCATGTGCTCGAGATCTTCATCATTCGTCACCGAAATCAGCGCATCGAGATCTTCACCAGGTAACTGATACTTGAAACTGACCTGAGAATCGCACAAAGCAGATAGCTTAGAAATTAAGGCAGAGAATTTGATGCTGCGATCAACGGCCAAGATCTTGGTGTCGCCGCCGACGTAGGTGAGCTGGTTATCGTGAGGTCTAGGGTGGATTTTGCCGCCATAGCTGCACATGAACTTGACCTTGTAGTTGGAAGAAAGAGGCTCGTCCCAAGAAGCGTTCTCGCAGTCGATTTCTCGAGATCGAGGCGATGAATTGCCGGAGTCTGGGTAGGAAGAGTAAGAGTGATTCTCCATTTTTGGGTTTTGGGGATTTAGGGTTAGGTTTAGGAAAGAAGGCAGTTGTGTTGTTGGTACATTGAAGCACCTGAAGGAAGAAAGCGGCTTTCAAGGGAGAGGAGAGGAGAGATATATATGAGGTGGAATAGTGGTGTAGGTGGGCTGTGTGGGACCCAGGGCATTGTTTGTGAGATTGCGTAGCACAGAGATAATGCTTAGCTATGACGTGGAAGGAAGCTTCGAGAGCGATTGACTCAAGGGTGAGGACGACCATACAGTTGTTATTTGCACCTCATTTTTTATTGAACACATTTTTAACAATATCATTATTTTGTCAAACCTCGGCGTGTAGTATGTTAATCTATAATTATTTACTCCCTACCTCTTAAAATATTAGGCTCTGTTTTATTTAATTTTTTTTTAAAAAATTAAAATTTCAAGTTATATTTTAAAAGATAAATTATTAAAAACAGTGTTGAAAATTAAAAAATTATTTAGTTATGAGTTTTTTAAATAATTTTGGAATGATTTGTATATTTTTTTTGATAGTTGAAGAAAATTTAATTGATTAATATGTAAATTGAGAGAAAATGAGAGGAGAGAAAGTTGTTGATTGATTTATTAATAAATAAATAAATAAGAAGCTGAGAAGAAAGAAAAAATAATTTTGAAAAGAGTTTTAAAATTTTGTTAACCAAATATATTTTTATGATTTTTCGATCCAAATATTAATTAAAAAATTAAACCAAACACTACTTTAATTTTTTATTTTTATTGTTTCAAAATATTAATCTATTTTTTAAAATTAAGAGAAAAAGAATATGAATTTTCTATTTTATTCCTCTTTTAAATTTATTAACAATCCGAAAAATATAATTATGACAATTAATATTTCAAAAAAAAAACTTACTACCAAAGATTAGTTTTGAAAAATTAATATTTTTAAAGTGTAATAATTATACTTAAAAAAAATTAAATTCTCAAGAAGAACTACTAGTATTTCATATATTCCTCTTTTAATTATGTTTGGGAATTGAGTAATTTATTTGATTTTTTAATTTTTTTATGAAAATATACGTAAAAAAAGTATTGATTAGTATAAACCTAACTGTCGAAACGAAACTTTCATCTCTGACATTATATGAGAATTTGTCATTAATATCATAAAAAATTAAAATTCAATTAAATCAAAGTGATGGACATGGTGGTCAAATATTAACGGTCAATTTCACGTTAAGGTTTTTATATTGGAATTATTAATGTTATCAAAAGTTATTAGGAAATACAAATATTGCCTTGTTTGATAAGTTGACTATTTTAGTTAATTAATTTTTTTTTATAATTATTTTAGTTGGATTGAAATAGTTGTATTTGAAAATTTGATTATTTTTTTATAGTTGATTTGATAATTATAAGAGAAAAATTAAAATAATTATAAGTTAAATGTGATATTTAATTTTATTAACTATTTTATCTTTTAACCCAAACCTCTTCTCAAACACCCCACTGTTGAATTCGAGATATCAATGCACGGAAAAGATTAGAAATATTGAATTAGATTCTTTTTAAATACGCATGATGTTCAAGTTTAAATTTTTGACGTAATTTCACGTTCTATTCTTTTGCTATTGATAGTAAAATAAAAATTTAATATTTTATCATTATTTTTCATAATATCCGTCCTATTTTGCCCTTCTTTTAAATTAATAAACAATTTAAAAAGTACAATTATGACATTGATATTCCCAAAAAATGTACTATCAAAAGGGTAATTTTGGAAAACCAACTTTTTTCAAATGCAATAAGTGTACTACCAAAAAAAGTTAGATTCCCCAAAAGGGATCAATATTTTGGGACAGAGGGAGTAGTTGATTTGATAATTGTAAGAAAAAAATTAAAATAATTATAAGTTAAATGTGATATTTAGGCCTCGTTTGGGAACAGGCTAATTTAGTAACTTTTTGGCTATTTGGCTAAAAAGGTAGGTAAAAAAAACTTGTATGTTTGGGATGACTTTTTGGCTAATTACGAAAATATGTACAAAAAGTAGAGAGAAAAGAGAATCTTTGACTTTTTGGTATGAGTTGTTGGCTTTTTGACTAATTTAATAACTTTTTGACTAATTGACTAAAATAACCTCTTGCCAAACGAGACCTTAATTTTATTAACTATTTTACCTTTTAACCCAAACCTCTTCTCAAACACCCCACTGTTGAATTCGAGATATCAATGCACGGAAAAGATTAGAAATATTGAATTAGATTCTTTTTAAATACGCATGATGTTCAAGTTTAAATTTTTGACGTAATTTCACGTTCTATTCTTTTGCTATTGATAGTAAAATAAAAATTTAATATTTTATCATTATTTTTCATAATATCCGCCATTAATTCTAAATCTAAGTTTGCATATTCAAATTTTAAGTATTTTATTTATTGAATATATATTATACATATTTTAAAAATATTTATTGATATTGAATATTTTGACCACGTTTGTTTGGCTCCATAGGATAGAGGAAATTAAGAATAAGATTGAATTGAGTGAGAGGATTATTAGTATGGTGATATTAGATTAGAGATATAGGATAAAGAGTATTTGTTTGTACATTACTAGATTAATAATAATATAGATAGTGTTAATATATAAAATTAATGTTTTTTAATTTTCAGTATTTTCTTAATATTATAATTATTTTTTTGTTCTAAAAAATATAATTTTTGTTCACAAATTATTTAAAAATATACTAATCCCCTTATTCAATTTCTAATCCTAACCCTCCAATGACTTTGTTTTGTCCTACCACATGAGGTGATTATTAGTCCAATGGAATAGTTAATCCCCTCACTCATGTCTCAAACCAAACACTATTTAGGTGAGTTCTACGGATGATTACTCCAATATCTCTTCCCAATGAGCCAAACAAACATGGCTTATATTCATTTATCTCTCTTTTTTTTTCTTTTTGTTTTAATACTCCAATATTTTACAATGTATGGTAGAAATTTAAAATTTGGGCTCACAATCCCTCAATTAGTCAAAATTCAATCGAATTCTTGTTTTGTGATATTTTTTATTTTATTTTTCATTTTCATATTATTTAAATTTTGGTAGTGGTAAAAAACAAAATGATAGTATTATTATTATTATTATTATTATTATTATTATTATTATTATTAGTTGCTTTCTTACTAGAGAATAACAATGCAATATATATGCCAATTATAAAAAACTTTGGGCAAAATATATTAATGATCCCTATAGTTTGCGCCTTGTATCACTTTGATCATTGACTTTTCAATTGTGACATATTTGACCATGAATTTTGAATTTTATTCCAAATAAGGATAATTGAAGATATCATTACTCAATTTCAAGGGCAAAGCCGTCAATTTGATAAAATATAAATTAATTTGACAAAAATAAATGTCAAAAAAATATTTTTTGAATTTTTAAAAATTATTTCTATCTACTAAAGATAAAATTATGTAAAATTAATAAATCTTTTAGACATTTTTTTTTACTAAATTAATTTTTATTATGTGTTTGGATGATGACCATATATATTCATTACCATACTTAGAATTACCATACTTAGGTTTTTCTTCTCCTATATAAAAAAGTCTTGTATACGGTATTACATAATTATTCAACACAATATTAAATATACACATAATATAATATTCTCTCTTTCTGTTGTAACATGGTATCAGAGATATAAGTTAAACTCTTAGTGTTCTTTGCCTTATTGACTGGAGAAAACCTTGCCTTGGCTGCTCATCGAATATGAACCCATTTCACTGCCTTATTTTTCCTCAATATCGCTTCGTGGTGATCTCTTACTTTGTCTGCTAGTTTATTCCTATTCCAAATATCACTATCGTATTTTTTTTTCTCGCAAACCATTTTTTTTTGTGCTTCTGATCCACTTTGTATTTCCCTTTACTTCAATCTCAATTAGATTTTTATTTTCAGGGGGTATTATACTTATATCATAGTGAGCATGATTATACACTATGCAAACCACCCACGCCGTCCATTGGTGTACTACATAAGTTATTCCTTGGCGCACTCCCTAAGTCGCCCCCTTGGCGCACTCCCTAAGTCCTCTCTTGACATACTTCCTGAGCCGCCCCCTGACACACCATCTAAGTTGCCCCTTTGCACACTCCCTAAGCTGCTCCATTGGCACATTTTGTTCCTTTCCAAGCCACCTCATGGTGCACATAACTCCTTTCCAAGTCACCCTTGGCGCACATGGTTCCAATCCAATTTGTCTCCTTTGGCGCACAACCCAAACAACCTCTTGGCACATTTTCTCATAAGTCACCCTCTGGTGCACCACCCAAGTCTCCCCCTCTAACGCACAACCAAGCTATCCCTTCTGGTGCACAATCCAAGCCATTCCCTCTTGCGCACAATCCAAACTGTTCACTCTAGCGCACAACCCAAGTTGCCCCCTGGCGCACGTTCTTATAAGTCGTCCCTTGGCGCATAATGTCATATATTGCTATCAATGTTCAGCACAACGTCATAAATTATGTGTGTGCCACGTTTGTTAGTTCAACATCTAATTCTTCTTTAACGGTCTGAAGCAACCTTAAACTGTTCCAACATTAGTTCCGACCAATTTCTACAACAGTCTGACACGACCTTAAACTATCTTTGCATTAGAATTATCATACATACATATCATATCCGTTTGGCAAGAGCTAAACGGGGCTTTTTTAGCTATTTTAGCCACAAAAGACAAAATAGACTATTTTAGCCACAAAAAATAAAATATCACATCCAATTCATAATCATTACATTCTTCTCTCACAAAAAAAGCTAAAAAAGCCAAAATGCCAAAAAGCCTTTCCCAAACCAAACTTTTTAGCCCAGGCTAAAATAGTTAAAAAAGTCAAAAAGCCAAAAAGCCAACCCACTTCCCAAACGGAGGCATTCATTACCATACTTAGAATTGCTATACTTAGGTTTCTCTCCTTCTATATAAAAAGTCTTCTATACATTGTTACATAATTATTCAATACAATATTAAATATATACACAATATAATATTCATTCTTTCTCTCTCTTAGATATAGTAACACTAACAATTGCACTTCTACCGTATC